TATAAATTAGTCATTATTTAATTACTTGCCTACTTTGAAAAGTAGAGCTGGTAATTTTCTCGTGAGCTTGATCTTTGAACTTGATTTTGACCCTCAATATTTTCAAATTATTGAGTAATAAATCGGCTAAACCCTTGTCATCTAGTGTGAACCACTCCAATTATGTACAGAACGAGTATTTCTAAACGGGTAGATCCTTTATATGATAACACATTTAAATTACAAGTTTAAATCCTTGTAATATTGCTAACGATCTAAGTAATTTAATAATAATTTCGAATCGTATAATATGCGGGTGAAATAGAATAAGAGATTAGAAAATGTTACTTCTCATTATGTAATTAACAAAAAAAAAAAAAAAAAACTCTATAATATTTTATGCTGACCTTAATCTTCAATATACCAAGATGACCAAAAATAATCTTCAACATATAAAAAATATATAAATATATATTTTTGTACTAATCATTCAAAAGCCTCGAAATCAAAAACTAAGTTTTTTTTACTTGAACTAATAAATCATTGATGTCTGTATATATATATATATATATATACACACTTATGTATTTATGTATGTATATATATATATATATATATATATATGAAAATGTCATTCGATTCCTCACAGGCAGCATGTTGTGTCATCAATTATGCATGTTGTTACCTGTTATCTTGTTATTCCAATCAATGCAGAAAGCATTTTTTATAAACATAACTTGAGTCCAGGGAGTCAAAACCTCTTATGAAGTCCCAAAAACTGAAAATTGTTGCTTTACATGAATTGGTAACGGATGCATCATGAGTTACCTGCCACTGGAAATTTATACCCTATTTTGTTAGTTCTTGTGGCTGCACTAGTCTAGAGGGAAGAAATGGATGAGATTATAGATAGAATGCAAGGAAATATACACAAGTGAATTATTAATTTATTAGGCTCTAAATGCAATGCCTGGTGGATAGTATACCGTATACTTAAGTGCAAAACTTTTCCTCCCAGAAAATTTTTTCATACATTATATACACAAAATGCAGGGACGCGGCTCTGGTCAATTTAGCTCATAGAAATGAGTATTTAGTCCATTCTTGTAAGCATCAATGGCCAAAAGAGTCCAGGTGCTGTTGTTTGATTTGTTGATTAGGCAGGGACACGGTATGATGGATCGACCATTTTCAAGATGAACAAGTTTCCTAAATCACCTCTGGATATCCTGCAGGAGTGATAAAAAAATGGAAATAATCATTAGCAACTTTCACATAAGTGAAGCAGTCTGTGATGGAAAGATTGCATTCTTTGGTGTCTTTTGATTCATTGTTAATAGAAGGAAACTGATGTCAAGCTTACTCACCGCAACTCTTCATCCAAGTATGTAATGTCCAATTCGCCACGAGCTCTTCCGGGTGCCTTGACAGGTATCTGCAGTCCAATATCAACGCAAGTAATACAAGAAAACTGCTTGATAGGAATTCAGGCAAACGAGCTGCTATGCCATGACATTAGAATGAAAATTCTGAAACTTAAAAGCATTGAGAAAACTTTTCTATACTTCCAATGAAACTAAAAATTGTTCACAGTATTAGGATGACAAGGTCTTTGTCCACAAACATTTTACAACACAATAATATTTTCCATCAAAGTTTTCATCAGTTGAGAGTGACTCATTAATTTAAAAACATGGCTTAGTCAACATTCAATGGCATTTGGATAGCTGGCTTTCTCTGTTATTAAGGTTCAGTTTATTCTTCAAACATTTTAGTACACTGTATTTTGATTACTTGTTAGATATTGAGTATCTATTGATTCTACTTACCAGACCTGCGATTTTGAAATAATCGAACTTCACAGCCACCTTTCTAGCATTCAGAGGTGTGAGATCTGCTGTAACCTAAAAGACATGAATATAGATTTGGAAGTTCACGTGCCTTGATGCAAAGCCAAAATTCATCATCTTACATTTTAGGAGTGTTTTAACCAAATAAAATAGAAGACGGTAGGCAGAGAAGAATGTTTTCTCAGTCAATGCTGAAATCAGAACCAAAAAGGATATAATCAAATCCTGCACACAATGGTGGAAACATTTGATTATTACCTGGTTGAAGAAAGGCCAAGATTCCAAATTTTGGGCCCTAAGTGTGTCCACATTGATTGCTTGATAGTTTTTAACTGATCGAACGAACTTAGGTCTCTGAAAGAACATCACATTTAGAAATATTAAGCCTTTGACTTGTATATGCAACAGAGAGAGCAAGTGGAATGAACTGAACATTCATAAAAACCATATGGTTTATTACTACAACAGAAGGAGAAGAAACAAACTGATTAAGCAAAATCAGGAGCCAGCATCTGGCCTGAAGACCACAAGAACATGTGTTTATGTTGAGGTCAGTGTTTCTATGGAAGCATGTTAAATTAGGGATTACAATATCCAACGTTAAAATCCCAAAAAGTTAAATGGATTAATGAAAGATAAACAGATAACCAACAACCAAAGCGAAACTGAATATAATCTAAATTCTTCTCATGCATTGTGGAAGAAGTTTCATACCAACAAATAATAGTATGTAACTGGTGAAGAGATGGGATTTACCTCAGTTTGCAAAATTGATCTTGAAGTAGTATATATAAGCTCCCATTTTCCATTCAATAAATCTGATTTGAGAGGCTCCTTTATAGGATTAACTGCTTCAAGTTTTCGTGCTATCTATATTCAGCATTGAATTCCAATAATCAAAATATAAAGATACACATAACACCAAAGCTTACTGGCCTACGCCTATGAGATAACATGACACAGATTTCAATTCCAAAATTACTTTCTTTTTCTAAACCCACAACATGCATCATCTAGACATGCCTTCTCCTGCCCAACACCCATCAATTATCACAAAACCAAAGCAAAAAATTGGTAAAGAATTTGATCACTTACAGAAACAACAATATACCATTCTTCCTATAAAAAAATGGCAGGAACAAGGTAACTAAAACAAACCTGATCAACTCTCTGCTGGTCCTCAGGAGTGGCCTCTGCACCTCGATCAAGTGGTGCAATGGCCTCTAGAAGGTCTTCCTTAAGTTTCTCAGCATTCTTGCCTTGGTTTAAGAAAGCAGGGAAAAAAGAAACATTGGCCCTCCATTTCTCAGGGGCTGAGTTTCCTGAAGGATTACAGTCCTTATGAATGGTGGGTTTGACAGGGAAGTGACAGTTGGCAAGTGAAGCAGGAAAAAGAAAAGGCTTGACGGTTGTTAAGGCGGTGGAGCGTGGTGTGGTAAGTGGGAAGCTTGAAGATAAGGCCATGGAGAAGGGGAAAAGCTTCAAAACAATAAAAAAAAGCAGTTTTTAATTTTGATCTTTGCCTAAAAATAGATTTTTTTCCTTTATTTTCCCATTTTCGCCATTTAATTTTTTTTTATGGCCCTCCATTTTCCAAATAAAATAAAAAAAGCCACCTTTAATTGTTGCTTGGGAAAAATACCTATTATACGGCATTATTAATTTCTTTTATTTGTAATAACTGAATAATTTCTTTTAATTTTCATTTAGTTGTTTCTTATTTTCAGAAAATGAAGGCCCCCCACTTAGAAGAACATGGCGCCAGTACCACACTGCTTGTCTTCTTATGGACCTGTGCTGGAGAATGAAAAAGCCACTCTGATACGCCTCCTCTTTTTTAAGCTAAAGCTCGAATCTTGAATACCCAGAAGGGAAATTTTTTCTACTTGTAGTTCTTGATTTTTGCCTTTTTGAGAAACTACAGAGGAAAGATCTTCCTCATCTAAGTTTCTACCCCTTTTTTAAAGTGTTCCTTTTATAACTTCTTGTTTTGTGTACTTTACCTATGAAGTCAAGAATTGAATCTTGAAAGCCCCAGTGAAAGAAAACGATGATGATTGTAAAATTGCAAGTTGCCAATCTTAACGGAGTGCCTGTTACACCCAATTCCTGGATTGTTTGCAACAAAGATGTTTGCAGGTTTAGCTGCAGCTTGAGAAGCCCTTCTTCACAGCAGAAGATAAGGTTCAAGCTTGTGGGTCAGAATCTGGGGGACAGATGGAGGAAGCTAAACAACATCGATACACGTAAGTTCTGCTTCATGTTTTTCGTTTCTCTTTATTGTCAAGCTTGAATTTTTAGTAAAATTATTCTTTCTGATTTATTTTTCTGATGTTGTTCTCGGTGGAGGTGACTTTAGGGTCGCTAATCAGTAATCAGTATTCTAGTAGAGCGTCACCAGTTCTATTTATATTATTATTGTTATGCAATGAGATTATTATATTGGATATGAGAATGATTATCACATCTATTTTTGAGAGAAAGAATCAGTCAAAGGGCAACTTAATGGGTTAACGGAATTATGAATTAATGGACAGCTATTTAGTAATTGAATTGGACTATTCAAACCTGTGGGATTGGAAACTCTCTGTCTCTGTGTCCTTTGGGAAATGGCTATTGATGGGATAACGAGATACTGTTTCCAGAAGAAGCTTAAATTAAATACAAAGCATGCTGAATGGGCAGAAGAAAAGAGAATCTCGTTAATGTGAATAGAGAATCCTTCCGGACTTGACCTTTGATACAATAGTTAGGGTTTAGGGTTTAGCGTTTAGGAGAAAATTATGATCCTGTGAGGCCTACTTTAGCTCTTCTTTAGGGCTTAGTCCGAACATTATTTGTTCTGTGCATAAGGAAGGCAACTTGCTTTGACACACAAAGTACTAATGCTGGCTTTATTTGTCTACTATGTAGAGATCCATCCGTAAGGATCATCAAGCATTTGATCTCATATTACTTTTAACAGGATAAATTTCTATTTATGCTGTTTCTTAGTTCTAGATGTGCATGTTTTATTTTGCTCTTTACAGATGCTGTGCAGGAAAGAATAAACTCATGGCTGTCTAAGACCCAGGATTTTCTAAATGAGGTTACCTCACCCCTAGCAAAAACTGGTAATGATGGAAAGTCTGAACCTGGAAATGTGTTGGACACTCAAGACATGGAGGATATGTTTGTAGCAGAACAGACCATGGACAGCAGCACACCTAATGGGGTTCTTTCATTAGCAGCTATACTATCTATTGAGCAATTTAGCAGGTGAAATAATATTTCAGTTTGATCATTTTAGTTTGAAGTTCTTTTGTGGTTGTCAACATCTTAAATATTCTTCTTTTTATTTTATTGTGAGCTTTTTTTTGGTACATCAGATGATGGGTTGTACAATAAGGGATAGCCCTCCCCTTTCCTTAATTCCTTCTCACCCGTCTCAAGGTTTGAATTCAAGATCTCCAACTTGGAGACTCAAGCTCTTAACTACTTTGAGACACCCCCTTGGGAGCTTTTTTTTTTTGGGCTGTATTTTTTTGGGAGCTTTTGAGCCATATTTTAAATGGAATAATCAACCTAAATTCTTGTATAAAAGGTTGCAAATACTCTCCCACCAGCAGTCTTGTATTTCTGTTCTTATCTCAGCTAAGACCTTCAATTGATCAAATGGGGAATCCTCTTGGAGGATTTTGCATAATTGCATATTTTGTTAATCACCATTTCATAAACTAAATGTCTTATCAAAATAAAAAAGCTAAGAGTTCAGCTTATTATGAATATGGGTTTAGGGTTTCCTTTCCTTTTTATTTTAATCACATATTACCATACTTAATAGTGCTAAACAGGAATGGTTTTTCTGGTACATTATGCCCCATGCTGTCAGGGCTATCCTTAAATTGGAATGCTATTAATGACTGAACTATTATTTAAGTTTCTGAAGTGGAATTCACTTTGATCAATTCTAAATACATAATTAATCCCCATGTATGAGTTGTATATCTGCTTAGCTGTTAATGCTGAATTGTGCTCTTGTTCTTATCAAACTAGTAAAAGAACTGTGATTTGACTTTGGAAGTTAAGATATGCAGGATGAATGGCTTGACTGGAAAGAAAATGCAGAAAATATTTAAAGCACTTGTTCCTGCACATGTCTATGATGATGCTCGTAACTTGGTGGAGTATTGCTGCTTCAGATTCTTGTCAAGGGATACCTCTGATCTCCATCCCTGCCTCAAGGTTTGTGTAATGAAGCTCTCTCTAAGCTTCTTTTTTGTTAAAAAAAATCTTCATTAGTAGTGTCCAGGATCTACATCTTGAGCACTGACCTATTCTTCTGAATGTTTGAATCTTTTGTTTTCCTGGTTTTTCTTTTTCTTTAAAAAGTAAAAAAATTGTATGTTTTGGGACTCATGGAGTTTCTAATATGCTCCCTTTTTAATTTTCAGGAACCTGCATTCCAGAGATTAATTTTTATCACCATGCTTGCCTGGCAGAATCCCTATTTTGATGAAGATGATTTGCATGCTCATGCATCCAAAAAGGCTTCTTTGCAGGTTCATTTTCCAACCATCTTTTGAAGTGATGCAATTTGTAATTACTGGTGATTATATCACCACACCACCAACTTCATTAACAGTTGCAGTGATATTACAACTATAGTTATTTTATGAACTTCATTAGATTCAGTACAGTTTTTAAAGCTTTAATTTTCTAACTCAGCATAGATTTACAAGAGCTATGGGTTATAAAGTTTTTTTTTTTTTTCCTTATTGAAGGGAAAGTATGTAGGAGAAGAGGCATTTGCTCGAATTGCTCCTGCTGTTTCTGGTGTAGCTGATCATCCTACAGTGCATTACCTTTTTAAGGCCCTTGCTGGTGATGAGCAGGGCATCTCCCTAAGTGTATGGTTAACATACATTAATGAACTTGTGAAGTAAGCTTCATAGCTCCTTTTTATATGGTTTATGGTCTTTGATGATTCTCAAAAGTTTTGTAAAAGCAATGTTCTGGATCTTAAACTGAAGTCATGAAAGAAGCTTCTTGATTCTTTGTTAGACAAATATAACATGAACTTAAGGGTGCTTTAGTCTGTATATGTCTAATGATATAATAAGGTGCTTATTGATAATCCATATTACCTCCTTTGAGGTATAGTATGCTCAGGCCAATTTGAGTTGAATATCTAGATATTCAAGCTTGTCTTGTTCAAAATTTCATGTATATATGTACTAAACTGGAATTTAGTCCAAGTGAGTAATTAAGGAGGGGAGTGGTGCTGGAAGAGGGTGAGGAAAGGTGTCCTATAGCCATTAGCCAAGAAACCTGTCCTTGCAATATTAGATGTGGTGTAAAATCATATGATTTTATGAAACTTGAATCTAACATGTTCCAAAAATAAAGGAAGGTCAAGTCTCTGCTCCCTTTGTTTCTAGTAGACTCCAAAATGAATCCAAAAAGGTACCCTCAAACTGTGAATTAAAATGCTTGTTAATTTATACATGTTTTTAGTAATACAATATGCATGACAACAACAACAATAATACTACATTTGAAGTATATTAATAATTAGTTCAAATGATTTTACACAATCAGCAAGTCAAACTTTTGTGATAATCAGCCTGTATCTATTGTTATCCTCTCTATCTTTATCTTCTCTCTGTTTTTCCCCATTTTTCTCTTTCAAGTCCTACATTAGGCAGTGTAATGATGCCAAACATTAAATGTTCAATTCTTATACAATGCACTTCTGTTGCTCGTTAAATGTGTATGGATCTTTAAAATTTTTAGGAAGCTTAATTCCTACTGGTTTAGTGTAGAGTTCATGAAGGACGAAGGTCATATCAGAATCGTGAATCTCTGCTTCCTGAGGAAAGAATCTTGTGCCTTGGTTCTAGTAGAAAGCGGCCAGTTCTTAAATGGGAGAACAACATGGCTTGGCCAGGAAAACTCACTCTAACTGATAAAACACTCCATTTTGAGGTACTTATGATTTGTACTTCAACTGAGTTCTGCATAGAATTATTTAAGGTTAACCATGAAGTAATGCCATAGAAATTTGTTCTCTTTCAAATTCTTTTATATTTCTTTTGTTGATGATGATTCATGAGCCTGTCTAAACTACAACTTCCAGTTTCTCAGGAATGAGTGGTAGTGCTATTAGGAATTTCAAAAGTTTTTGAGAAAAGAAAAGATGTTGATTCCATGATCTCACACTCTCTCTCCTCTACATGTATAACTGAAAGTTGAAATAGTTCACTCTTACTTGAGAAGGCATTAGTGACTGGTTAACTCTTAAAGTTCATGCTCTCTTGGAGAATTTGCCTATGTTGTTAGAAGTCTTAAAAATGCCTGCATCAACTTCAAAATTAATTACTTTTTTCCAGAACAAAATTAATGACTTCGATGTTCCCATCATTAATTATTATCTCTTCACCTTCATTGCAGGCTGTTGGTCTACTAAGGCAGAAAGATGCTGCAAGACTTGATCTTACAAGACATGGATTACAGGTGGAGAAAGCAAAAGTTGGACCATTTGGTTCTGTTCTTTTTGATTCTGCAGTCTCTATTTCATCTTCTACTGGGTATATTTCTTCAATCACATTTCTATGTGGTTACTTGCTGCAGGATTCTTAACTCATTGAGTTTTAGACTTTTTTTACATTGGCATATCCACGGGGGCTGTAAATTTGATTTTCTTAGTATATTCTTATTTAATTTTACTGAAATAGAAAATGGTGACAACTGTAGTTATAGAAAAAGAGTTCTTCATGGCATTTGCATTTATTTTTGCATAAGGTGATCACTTTCAAGACTTGTTCTGATCATTTGTGTTTCTCAGGCCAAGAAACACTAGAAAAGGGAACTTTTGCTTATAGTACATTTAAAAAAGAGAGGCAGGTCATCCAACAAAGTGGCCTTTTTATTAATCTGAAGGTTCATTTTACTGTAATTTAACCATATTTACTTCATATATCGAAAAATCGTATTTACTTTGTATTATGATGCATGTCCTGGTGTATCTCTTCCTAAATTCTCTCAGCTTCCATGATAAGGTGCCTTGAGTATGTTATTATTATTATTATTATTATTATTTTCCTATATGCAGTTCCCCTGAAAAATCTTTATTCTTTCCATTCTTAAATTTTGGTTCAGGTCAGAGATATGGTTGCTGGAGTTTGTGGACTTGGGAGGTGAACTAAGACGAGATATCTGGTATGCATTCATCAGTGAAGTTATTGCTCTACACAAGTTTCTGCGTGAGTATGGACCAGAGGATAATGACCAGTCTGTATTTCAAGTGTTTGGTGCCCACAAAGGGAAAGAAAAAGCTATTACAGCTGCTATTAGTGGCATTGCTAGACTTCAGGCACTTCAGTTTATGCGGAAGTCATTGGATGATCCAATCAAACTTGCCCAGTACTCATTTTTGCAGAATGCTCCCCATGGTGATGTTGTTTGCCAAACTCTAGCAGTGAATTTTTGGGGTGGACCAGTAGTTACAAGATTTACAGAGGAAGGGCTTCAACAAGCTGAAGAAGTGGGACCATCTAGAGAAGCATCTGAAAATAATAATCACATAATTGATGTGGATGGAAGTGTTTTCTTACGAAAGTGGCTAAGGTCACCATCTTGGTATTCCAGTGCTTCAGTTAGTTTCTGGAAGAACTCTTCAGTTAGACAAGGAGTAGTATTAAGTAAAAATCTTGTCGTAGCTCAGATGACTCATGTAGAAAGGGCAGCTCTAATATGTAAAGAAAAGTTCCAGGTGGTTGAGAAAACTCAAGCCACAATTGATGCTGCAACACTCAAAGGGATTTCTAGTAACATTGACCTCTTCAAGGTAAGTTCATCTGTTTCACCGTGTTACTTGTAAGAGGATAGAAATTGAGGCTCCATTTAGTATGGTTGCGATTTTGAGTTTTCAGTTTTGGTTTTAAAAAATTTAGCAACCCTAAGATAAATTAAGAAGTTTTATAAATTAATTCAGTTTGAAGTTGTAGGTATTAGTTTTAAAAATGTATACCCAATAAGTTGCCAATTTTAATTTTTAATTTTGGTTTTTAATTGTTAATTTTGATTGTTTGAGTTTTGAAAACCAAAACCAAAAATTAATAACCACAACCATACTAACCAGAGCCTGAATCTGCAGCTTAAGTTTTTAAGATCTGGAAATATCATCTCTTGTAGTTTATATTGTTTGACTTGTTTATGATAGGAAGTTAGGAACCATAAATGATGCAATTGGAATTCCTCCAACCATTCATTCCTAGTCAGTACCATTGGAGAATGAGTACCATCAGTGCTTCCACTTCCTATTAACTGAACATGGTTGGCAATTTTTTTTTTTTCTGCAGGAACTTATGCTTCCTCTGGCAATAACTGCCAAGAATTTCGGAAAGCTAAGACGGTGGGAGGAGCCATACCTGACAGTTTCTTTTCTTGTGTTTGCATATACAATTATTTTCAGGTAAATCCATCGTTTTAAATTATTTTTTATTAAAAAAAAAAAAACTAACCTGGGTTTTGATCCTTCTAAACAGTATCAACATTCACAAAGGACTAAACTATATTAGGACCAAGATGATGACTATTTATTTACCAAATGTAACTTATCAATCTGGTGAAATTAGACAAAAAGCTGACACCTTCGATCTTTCTCTCAGAAATCTGCTGTCATATGTTTTTCCCATGGGGTTGATGGTTTTAGCAACTGCAATGCTAACTGTAAAGGGTCTCAAGGAGCAAGGTCGCTTGGGCAGATCTTTTGGGAAAGTTACCATCCGTGATCAGCCACCTTCAAATACCATTCAGAAGATTATAGCTGTAAAAGATGCCATGCGTGATGTGGAAAATTATCTCCAGAATCTGAACGTTACCCTTCTGAAACTACGGACTGTTGTTCTTGCAGGTCAACCTCAGGTATGACACCATGACATTAGTATCTTGTTAACGAATATCCTTCAATTTTCTTGAAGTAAATTGAAATTAAACCAGATTAATTTCAGCTTTACTGTTTGATTTGGCAAATTGAATTATGATTATGTAAGCTTCTTTTTTTCTTTTTTTTTTAAGATAACGACCGAGGTTTCTCTGGTGTTGCTAGCTTCTGCAACCATTCTCCTCATTTTTCCTTTCAAGTTTGTCCTTGCATTTCTTATCTGTGATCTCTTCACTCGAGAGCTTGAGTTCAGGAGAAAAATGGTCAAGAGGTTCATAAGTTTGCTAAAGGAACGTTGGGTCACAGTGCCAGCAGCCCCGGTTGTTGTATTGCCATTTGAAGATGATGAGTCCACATCATTGAATCAAAGAGAAACAGGTGTACAAGCAATCGGAAAAAGAACAGGGCAGAAGCAAACCTAGACAGGTTCTATCACCTACAATTTCTGCGTATTATTTTGGTGTGACCTCAGTACATGTGAAATGTCCGAAATTTCTTCTTTTCTTTGTATAGATATCAGAGCACAGTCAGTACAACAATCAAAACAAGAGGAAAAAAAAAAAAAGCACAATAAGTACAGAGCCAGTTTTTCTTCCTGGCAATATAGTTTTGATTGTTAGTTGATGGCTCTGAGCTGTACAGTTTTTGACAAACATGAATCCAAAGCAAGATCGGAAATTGTATTGTATTCAGCAGATCATATGCTCAATCAGAACACGTATATTTACTTGAGCAAGGTTTAGGCTGTTTGATGAAGCTTATTCTGTTTCTATATAACAAACTGCCCACCTTTGGTTCCCCGTTTCTGTCTCATTGATCACTTGTGTAATTTTGATGGATAGAAAGCAGGTGGAGATGGTTAGTTCTCTCTAATACAGATTTTGCTGTTGGCTTGAGTTTCAAAGAAAAAATAGGGGAAGAAAAATGAAAAACAAAATAAGCATCTTCATCTTTTTGAAGTGATACTCTAGAGAGGTTGCAAAATGAAAATTTGCAGAAGAGAAGTGAAAAGTAATGATAGCACCAGGCTCCACCAGCTTCCTGGGATTGTTTTGAAGCCCGCAGATGCATAAGGATTGCTACAGACAAGTGTTTGATCGTGAAAGGAGCAAATTGTCTGGTTCCTGGATTCATCAACCAAATATCCAGTAAGCATCATAAGGTATGATGAATATCCTCGTATGGTTTATCTACGTGTTCTTGTTCTTGTTCAGAAAAAACTTTGGGATGAGACTCAATTTTCATGCATGAAGATACATATTGCTTACCTTAATGCACAGAAGGCCACAATGTATTCTGTTGAAGAGCATGTTACTGTAAGGATATCACCAGCATAGCTGGATGCCCCAGGGCATGCTTGTTTGAAAGCGCTGGAATAATTTGTGGGCAAACATGTCACAGGGTCTAAATATGTCCCACGACAGCAATACTCATCTGTGTTGAACACATCACAGGAGCTCCTACAAGCTGTGACCGTCCCGTTGGACTTCACAGCAAGTTCTGACGGGCAAGTATCCCTCAAGTCACCATCACAGCCGGCAGTGCTGCAGTTCCCTTTCCCATTTGCAGGCTTCACCACAATCGGAACGTTGAATCCGTCCACAAGGCTGACATCATAATAATCAATTAATCCGCCAACTCCAAGAGTGAGTTCAGCAATGGTAACAGGCAAGTTACCGGGACTTGTACAGTTTACTGAAGGGCCACAGTCGCCAGTTTGGCATTTGGAGCTCGCATTACCACCATTTTTGTCAAAACTGCAGCCTGTCCGTGCCCATATGCGGCCACTCCAGCCATCCGGGACATTGTATAAGGCTGTCTGCCCCATTTTTAACGTGAAACCTTCGCCCGGGTTGTTGTTGTGAGTTATGATTCCAGGCCATATTGTCTCTTTGCACAGATTCACCAAGGTCAAATTTACAGCATTTACATACAATTTAGCACCTGCCAAGTATAAAACTATTAAGTATCAAGAAAATTGTGCTTTTCTTCTAATCTGACTGCTCGGCGCAAGAGAGAAATTTACCTGAAGCAAGAATAATGAAGATGCAGACAAGCATCAGGAAATTTGGAGCCATCTTTTAACAATCTATGAAGGTTTCTAAGGGACAGAGGCAAATGAGATTTGTCTTTTATGTTTTGAGCAAAAGGTATGATAAAGTGGAAAGGGGAATACGTGAATGAGTGAGTGAATCTAAGTGGAACGACAGCACAAAAAGGGTTCCTTACTTCTTAAGCGTAGCTAATGGATACCTTACCTCGACAATCATCAACATTTACATTGCACTGGAATATTATCCCATTTTTCCTATATCATTTCTTTCATTTCATTTTCTTCTAATTTGGAGATAACAGTGTGATTCTTATGCTCCGATCTAATGAATTAGTGAAAATCACTTTCTGTGATTACGTGTTTAAACTTCATGGATCTCATTTTCTTTATCTTCATTCAATTAAATATATACTAATTTCAATTCATTAAAAAAAATTAGAGATAACAGTGTCTATAAAGTATTAGTCCAGTAATTAAGAACATGCTGATGACCTTAATTAAAAAGTACCAAAAGAATATGAGATAAGAGTCACAGTCAAAATGATTTGCATGTTGGTGGTCCTTGGTGTTGAATCAAAATTGGATTCTTGTGCTTCACCTTTTAACATGAAAGATTTAGCTTGCATGAGATTCAAATTTTGCTATAAAGAGAGAGGACCACTCAGTTTATGGCATAATAAGATAGAAATTGAAAGCTCTGCAACCATGAATCATTGAAACATAAATTTTGTAATAACATACTGTTATTATGTGGCCAACACATCGGGCAGAGGAACATGCATTTGTATTCAATGCAGCCGTAGCTAAGAACGCCCATTGAATCCTTGAAAATTTTTTAAAAATAAAAAATGCAATCTTGAATTAATCAAATACTCTTGATCTTGGGAGAATAACTCTTTCTATGGAAATCAGTGAATAAGACCAGAAGGGTGCTAATGAAGCACATGTTGAAGCACCAACTCCATATGCCGGAGCACCCTGGTCCGGTGAAATGGAAGTAGAGAAGCAGAGCCAGGATGCCGAAGCTCGACCAGAACTGCAGAAGCTGGCAATCTGTCACCAATCTCTTCCACCAGGGGCGGACCCCTAGTGAAGTTAACAAGTAGTATGTGTACATTAACACATGTACTAGGCAATTGGTAACTAGGACCATGGGGAAGGAAGATTGCACACTACTTAAGCAAATGTAGCACATGGTCACGACCATGGTGTGGTGGTAGACATGGAGGAAGGTCAAGCGTTTGACGGAGTTGCTCATGATGATTAAAAGGGTGTCCATGAATTCCACGATCTTGGAGAGGTAGAACATGTAGGCCCAGAAAAACAGAGGACCAGTGGAGGTGGTGGATTTAGGGAAACAAATAAGGTATTGGAAGTTGGGGGAATAGGAGAAAACTGAGAGGGAGCATCCAACGGCCATGGTGAGGCTGAGGGTGAGGATGGTGATGTTGTAGATGGCGGCGATGGATTTGATGAGGCGGCGGGGAAGTGGAGAACGGCGAGATAGTTCTTGTGACAGGAGGCAAGTAAAGAAGAGATAGGATAGAACGGTGAGGGAGAGGAACAGTGGGGAGGAGCCTATGGTTCCGCCGTGGTTCCATGAGAAATGAAGGATTTTAGGGTGGTTCACTAGCCAGTATTGGAGCGTTGAGACAATGGGGTATTCAAGGGTGCGGTTCATTGTGGCCGTTGGTGGCGTTGGCAGGAGGAAGAAAATGGAAGTAACGGGTAGATAAAATGTGGTGTTGTGGAAGTCCAAACATGGAAAATGGTTTTAAGTAGGAGCGAAGGGCCTGTACTCAGCCCCATGCTTTGATTGTTCCACCTCTGCTCCATGGGATGGCAATATATTATATTGTAACTTTCAAGGCAATAAAGGGGTAAATGTTTGTCTTTATCTGATTGTACTTGGGAATGGGGTATATTCAAAACAAAAAAAAAAAAGAAAAAAAAAGAAGGCAAAATTCTACAGTTAGTACAGCTAATAAGGAAAGGAGCAGCTGGGGTTCTGACTTCAAACCCCTGGTGGTCTTCCGACACATGCAGTGACAAACGCTTCTTTTGACAGTGTTTCTTGATTCTTAAGTTTTTAATTTTTATAT